CAACCGGCCTGAGAATGGAACCATTATTCCAATAGGAGAGTTGACTCCGAGACAAGGAAATCCAAAACTAACCACATGGCTTGCTAACAACCAGAGCAGAAAAGACCAGGATAAAACTTAGGATTTGGTGACAAAAATTCTTCTTTCATATACCTAATGTAACACTGTAGCAAGAAGTCGAATAATTTTTATTTAAATTTAATACGATACTTAACATTTATTTTTCTGTTTTTTTTATATCTCAATAAACATGTGTTAATTTAACTGTGTATTGTTTCTTCTTTTTTACTTGTTTGTGTGTGTTGCTCCAGAGTAGGCCATATTCACGTCCTGAGTGAGCTAGCCAGGGAGTGTTTCGTATAACGTCTAATGTAGCAATTTTGTAATTGATGCATTAGGGGTTATGACGGTAAAAATTGGTCCCAACGGGAAACGATTTGTCACTCCAACGTTGTCAGTGATGTTAGTCAGGTTGTAGCAGCAAACTAAGGTTTGCGGTTACAGGTTGACAACAGCAGCTCAACGTTGGGATGTTACAAATTGAGCCTCGAAGGGTTACAAATTGGCACCCAATGAATATTTGTTGGCACGTCATAGATTGACGTCCAATGAATGTTCGTTGGAACATTTCAACGTTGGAACGTTGGAGAATTTGACAAAATCCTGAAAGTACTACAAGCATGCCGCATTGACTACTGATATACAAGGTTAATTTATAATACATACAAGAACGTAACCATGTCGGTGAAACTACATGAAAACACGGATCATATCCCAATCGGCGGAGGAGTCCGACAGGGTGATACCTTGTTTACCGCAGTACTAGAATATGCTTGTAAAAATCTTAACTGGGAAGAGAAAGGCCTGAACATTGACGGTAGAAGATTAATAAATTTAAAATTCGCAGACGACATAGTTTTGATCTCGGACAACCTCAAGGAGATATGTACAATGCTACATGAACTTCAGTTAGTGTGTGCCAGTGTGGGTCTTAAAATAAACATCTCCAAAACAAAATTCATGACAAACCTAGTACCTGGCGGAAATATCAATATTGGAGACAACGAAGTAGAGCTGGTGGAAAAATACATATATTTTGGACACGAAATAAAGATCACAAGAGACAACCAAACACTCAAACTACAAAGAAGAATAAACCTAATAACCAGTTCTAAAACGCTGCAAATAGCTCAGAGGAAAATGGAAAGGTCAATGCCGAGTATATCGCTTCGTGACCAAGTTAGAAATAAAAACTTAACTCGAAGAACACGAGTTACCGATGTAATTTCTCGAATTGCCACACTGAAATGGAACTGGGCCGGACACGTCGCCCGAGTCAGTGATGAAAGGTGGACGAAGATATTGCTTGAGTGGAGGCCGAGGTTAGACAAAAGAAGTAGAGGAAGACCCCCTACACGTTGAACTGACGATCTCAAGAAAATGTCAAGAAATTGGATGAAAAGTGCTCAAGATAGACCACAATGGACAAAAATGAAGGAGGCCTATGTCCACCAGTGGACGCAAAGGAATGGGTGATGATAATGATGTTTTCTGCATCATTCAAATGATCTTCCTTTTTCTTTAAAATATCTTTCAACTTTATTAGGATCTGCTTCTTTTCGCTTATTTTCAAAACTGTCACAGTTATCACATTGTCATGTATCAATATTAGGGGGCTTGAAATGAAGGTTAAACTCGGTAGAAAAATTTTTCCGGTATATACTTTTTGTTACGGCAAGTTATTTTGCATACTCCTCATGAACCCACTCTAAATATAATTTGTACATTATTGTTACGTTTACTTCTGGATTTATATATTCTCTTCCAGACCTATTGCGACAATATTGACTTTAATTTCTGGAAAACAATTTATATGTTTCATAACCAATTGGTGGGCCTCTTCTGAAATTTGGTGATTAGGTACATGGTCACCCAGCTGCATCATTAATTTTCTTCTTTATTGAAATTCTGACTATTTTCTCAGAGATAGAAAATGTAATTAAAAAAATGACTCGCACATCCTTGTTTTAGATCTGTTTGAGAGGAGAGTTTAAGTGTAATAATGTTGTCTTTGGTCCTTTTGATTCTCATTTCTTGGACGTCTTCTGCCTACAATACCCACATCAACTGCTTGTGCAATAAATTGTCTTCTATGGTCCCAGTCTCTCTGGCTTTTCCAAAAACTATTAAGTATTTGCCCTCTAACAATATCCTGTATCCTGTATCCAAGCTTTAACTGACAGTATACTTCATGGTTGTTATGAACAGAAACATGGTTTTGTTTATTAGATGAATCAGATTCAGGCACATAAGTAGAGTGAACATCAGAAATGTCTGAAAAATAACAGTGCTTCAATTATTGCGATACTCCTTAATATAGGATAAGTTAAACTCTGACTGGAAAGTAGATTAAACTCTGCAATATATTACACTTCACAACAATTGTGTACCTACCTACTTTAAATTAGTAATGTGTAGAAAGGATAGGTACAAAATTTTGAAGATTTTCGCAGTACACGGAAAAAAGTTCACTTACCTTCATTGTTTTCTTGTAAACACATCAATTGAACTATTCAGAGCAGCAGCATCTAAGATTAGAATAGACATGATGATTGCCAACCTCCGTCGCGGAGATGGAACGTGAAGAAGTAGAAGAAACACATTTTTACCATCTGCATTGCTCTTGTTTCAGACATTTCTGGTTGTTCTTTATTATCACATGATACATAACAGACATGTAGAAGAACAAATAAGGAAGCGACAAGTGACGTCCTACAACTAGATCCCAATCCACGCAACGGTCGGTTTGATGATGAATGGCAATTCAAATTTGCTCTTAAATGATTTCTTAACCAGTAAAACATCATCTTCAGTCTGTACAGTTGCCGAAGGCAGATTCTAAGATAAGTAGTTAAGAGAGAAAAAGAACACATTTACTGGACGACATCTAAGTTAATTCTGATTTCGCAAATCAATGTAAAGTGTATCATTCAAATCACCTCATATGTACTTAACCAGCAAAAACGTGTGGCTTTTAAATGGCCATAACACCTTATATTTAGAAATATGAATGAATATACAATCGTTTGATATTTATGACAGCTCTTAAAAGGATGAAGAGTTTCCAACGCCAAACTCTTATGTCCCGTACTTGGGTTTTCCAGTTGGAAGCACGGATCCTCTCAGCATGTTGTGTTACGTCACCAGGTCGATGAATTTTGGTCTCTCGTACCTATCCGCTGCGATGTTGTAATTATTTTTATTATATTTGACTTTAGTGTTTCTTAATGAGTAAGTTCTCCGAACGTTACAAAGGGAGTTTGATGTTTGAATTTATTTTGATTGCGAATAGGATTTTTGTCAAAACAATCAATTCGATTGTTATTGCAACTTTGTGATTCATGAGAAAAGGTTTGTTTATAGAGGTAAAAATACATGTTATATCAAGGCAACTTACCCTTTACTCAACTCAAAACACCATCACGAGAATCACCAAAATTGCTGCATCCTCACTATTGGCCAGATTTACCACCATATGACTTTTGACTTCTTCCATGTTTCAAGAAATTCATTAGTGTGAATTAATTTTTGTCGAACAAAGAAATAAGAACAGCTGTGGCAGTTTTCCATAATGTTACTTAAAGAGGAAATTCTTAAATTATAATATTATTGGAACATAAGTATTGAAGTTCTTGAATAATACCTATAGGTCGTCGAGTAATAAATTTATGTACATGACCACACGGAAACGTGACATACTTTTCCCCTCCTAGTAAGTCTGTACCTTGTTTGCAGTTTTTTAAGATACCTTGTATCGGTTTTAGTAAACCCCATCTTGTTTAACTTCATCATCCGATACTTGTATAACTTTAATTACCAAATGATTCCGATAACAATAAAAGTGCAGTGTTTGCGGGACATGCTGGATGTCCCGCCGAACAAAACGCCAGTCTTCTCCCGAGACCTGTTCCGCAAAAAATCGCTGTCTCGTCCCGCAGCAAAAATCACTGTTTAGTCCCGTCCCACGAGACAAAGTATCTAGATGCATTTTATATTTACATATAGATAGGTATTTATATTCTTTTTCAGATCTAAAGCACTAATTTCTTAATATTAGATAGTTTCGTTAACGTAATGTTCAATAAGACTTTAAATAATGTTTACACGATTAAGTTAAAGTCTGATACATTTGTTGTTTTATGTATTGCAATTTGATAATTTCCGTAAACAATTAGGTAAATACTCCTTATTAATACCTCCCTCACTCTAAAATGTATCCTTTAATATGTATATATCAACAATAACAGGATTAAAGGTGAATCATGGATGCTTTCCATATTCTTTTTATAAAATATGTAAAATACGATTTGCTTGTACAGTTTAAATTTAAAAGAGTTATCGTTATTTTTATAGCTTATAAAATTTAAAATAATTTGTAGCAAATGGACCGATCCAATGTCAACATGAATTAGAATTATTAGTTTAAAAAAAACTTATTGTATTAAAATAATATATGTCATACTTGTGCTGCCATCTACTGATTAGATGCAAAATTTTAGAGCTTCTAGGTAAAGAAATTGTTTGAATGTCATTATTGGTTTTTTGCAGCATTGCCACATAATTTACAAAAAAGATTCTAACTCGATGCAAAAAGCCCTACAGTACGTAATTAATAATAATATTGTTCTAGTTCTAATAAGAGCTTCAATGGTATGATATCAGAGTTACATTTATTCCTAATTGTTTATGTTCTTGTATTTTAATTAAGTATAATGCACAATAACTATAAATTAAAAATGTGATAAATTATTAACCATACCTTATTTAAATAATCCTGAACATTTTTCACAATACAGAAAAATTACACTATGAATATTTTTGTCATATCTTAATATTAGCATAAAAATATCAATATATTTTCTTTCAATTTTTTTTAATTTCCTTTAAATATCGGGTTTCTAATGTTGAACGAAAATTTACACAATTGGCAACACTGAGCAGAAATTTCACGTGGTGATGAGTAATAAACTAAATTGTATATTTATAAATTAAACTTTTTTTATTTTAATAATTGAACAGTTATGAGTGTTTTTCACGACGAAGTAGAAATCGAAGACTTCGAATTTGACGAAGAAGAAGGCGTTTATCATTACCCGTGCCCTTGTGGCGATCGTTTTGAAATTACTAAAGTATGCCTCAAATTATAAAATGTTAGGTTATGTCTAATTGATATTTTGTAGGAGGAATTGCTAGCAGGTGAAGAAGTTGCTACATGCCCTAGTTGCTCATTAATAGTTAAGGTCATTTTTGATTTGGTGAGTAAAAGATTTAAAATGTACACTCAGCACATCTATTAATAATTATAACGATACATTCATGAAAATTTGTCAAACTAAAGAAGACATGAGTTACATTACTATAGTATAGAATATCTTTACTATAGTATATACAAAGAATATAGACGCTTAAGCATCTATATTCTTTGGTATATACTATAGTACAGAATTTTCATTGATTCTTTTAAATCATAAATAAAGCATCAACCATTTAAGGTGTTCTGCACTAACACTTGTTTTAAAACCAGTTTTTTCTTTGTAGTTTTCAGAAATATTTCAAATTGTCCTACTATTTTTTTCTGTAGTTTTTATTGTAGATTTGCTGTACTATAACTAAAACTAATAAGCTTCCTTTCTTTTATTTATACTTTTTAATATAATCGTTTTTGAAGTTATATCTCATCCCTTTCTTTCATCATCTTTCATAAAGAATTTAATTTTGTTGAATCATAAATGGCATAATTATTTCTGTAGGACGCCTTTCGAAAAGAAAACGGTGAGGTAAAAAGCTTATCAGAAGATTTAAAGAAACTAGAAATAGCAAACTAATATAATGGGTGGAAGAGGTAGAGGTGGACGAGGGGGCAGAGGTGGTGTATCAAAATCCTTCAACAAGGAACAGCTGGCATCTCTTGGAGTAGGAAACAAAGAACTAGTTCCTGGGCCAGTTCTTGAACCACCTCTTTTATATCCAATTATGGAGAGAAGACCAGCTCCACTTTCTGTAAGTAATAGTACTCTATTGATTTTTATTAGGTTATTTTAAAAGCTGTATAAAAAGAATAATGCTATTCAGTGTGCTCATAGTTTTATTTGCAAAATTATTTATTGTAAGAAGATGCTTTAGAAATATGACAAACAGGTGTCAGAAGGTAGATCTTCTAATAATGGTTTACCAGAGGGATTAGTGATGATTCTGCAATCACAGGTATAACTGTGGTCGTGATTTTTTTATTCATTGGAAATTCTAAATACCCTTTTCATTTTCTTCAAATATTTGTTTACATACTAATATTTCTCCAATGACGATATAATACTATCTTTGCTTTTCTCATTAGAAAAAGACTTCACAATACCACTGATGTGCTACCTCTATTTCATACCTTGTTATCATGTTACATGTCTCTCATTTTACAACTTTGCAACTGAAACAAGAATGTGATATAAGTATCATGTTCTTATATTATCACTTGAAATCACAGTCACAGTATATTTTGTTGTTATTCACAGTTTGTGATTGTTATTTCCTATTCACAGCTGTTAAATCACAGGTGATATTTAACCCACCTCTAAGAGGAATATACATTTTATTACTTTTTGTATCATTTGTAAAAATTTTTTGGTTATACTTTACTGTAGATGCCAAGTTGTTTACTAAATCATAATATTTTTACCATTAGATTAGATTAAGAGAGGTGGCCTTTCGGCATATTCCACTGCGACCTTTTCAGATCTATTGTGGTCCTCTAGTCCTAGATAACATTCTCAAGCCTGACCCTCTTTACAAAGACTGTACCTTCCATGTAGTGATTTGCCGGTGGATTTTCTTCTCCTAATGCAAAAAAAATGCACATTAGCCAGACTATCACACTGACATAAAATGTGCTCTGCTGTTTCTTCTTCGAGGTGACAGAATCTGCACAGGTCATCATCTGATAATCCCATTAGCTTCATGTGCCTATTCAGCATACAGTGCCCTGTTAGAAGACCTCTATGGCTTTGACTGTTTTCCTGTCTTTGCTAATTAAGTCTGCCATAAATTTTGGCGAATGTTCTGTAATGAACTGTTTTGCCTGTCTTTGTCATGGTGAATTCCTCCACCATTCCAGAGATTTGTGAGCTATCCACTTCTGTAGCCATTCTTGTTACTGACTTTGCAACACCACAGAAAGGTTGCAACAGAGGAAGCAGATTTCATCTGCTTTTTCATTGCCCTTATGACCCTCGTGCCCTGGTACCCAGGCTACTGTAACCTTGCTACAGTCTCCTAGTTTATTTAGGGTACACACGCAATCCCATACTAGCTTAGAATTGACCTCTACAGAATTGATTGCCTTAAGCGCTGCCTGAGTATCAGTGAAGATGGCAACTGAACAGAACATTGTTTCCTGCCTTTCTATTTCTTCCATACAATGATGGATTGTAGTTATTTCTGCCTGGAAAACTGTTACATCCCTAGATAGACTTACTGGGAAATGTAATACCGGCTCCAACACCCTTCTATGTTTTTGAGCCATCCGTGTACTAGGTAGCAGCAGCTTTTATGGGTACACCTTTATTCCAGTCTTCCCTGCCTTGTATCTTAATTGTGAATTTATTGTTAAAGCTATATCTAGTAGCTGTTGCATCGATAGGTTTCCCCATCACAATATCGGCTTTTAGCTCCTCAATTAGCTTTCTGTTGTCAGTATCATGCATCTAGCTTATATGTCGCTGACTATGGATTAATCTGTGCATCACTGATCTGGCTTCGCCCTGTATAAAGATATGAAGTGGTGGTAAATTCAACAGGACTTTCAATGTTGCAGTAGGAGTTGTTTTTGTCATTTTTACCATGGTATGTTACATATTAACCCTCCATCTTAATCTCAATTTGTGTTAGCTGTAATAAGCCCTTATCTCAGACCATCCAATGTAATGCTATAGCAAAGCCATGTCTATGTTACAATTGCAGCTTAGGTAGGCCCATCTACTGTGGTGCTGTGCTGACCTGTCAATCGCAGTACAAAGTTTGATTTCTCAGTGGCTCCCTCTAATAATTTGAGTAGTTATATATTTAGTTACCCTTCTAATGCATGTGTATCTGTGTACATACTTACTACATGCTGATGTGCCTCCACAAGATCTCTATATTTGAGAGATATTGTCATAAAACACATTTTTCTTTCAGCAATCTCTGGAGATGGATTACCTTCTAATACTTAGACAAGATTTTATAGATCACATGCAACTTTCAGGATCCTATTTGAAAATGCCCGAAAGTAAACACCAACCTCAACAGGAAATAGATAAATTGGTGGCCCAACTTCCTAGTGCTAAAGAAAAATTTGATTGGAGGTTGTTTCCCTCTGAACTTAGGCCCAAAGTATTAGTGAAAAGGGTTCCAAAGAGTGAAAAGTCTAAAAATGTCAATATAGAGCAGAGGTTAGTAGAATTTTAAATACAGCATATTAATTTACATCATATATAAGAATTGATAAGTATTTTCTATAGTAGGTTAGTGAATGAACCTTTTTCATTTCAAGGATGCAGGTCATAGCAATTTTTTTATCAGTTTTACTGTATATCTTCTGGCACAAGATATGGCTTCAAACAATTAGCAGAGTGTTCTCGTTTGTGCAATAAAAATTTTAGCTTCTCTCATGTTCAGCAAAGTTCATATTTGTAATTATGTTACCTAATGTAGGCTCCGTTAATAAATAATATTGTTCTAGTTTTCTTAAGTTTATTTAGCGGAAAGAAACACTAATTGTACATAATTCGACATAATAATTTTCATAACATTCCGATGGCCATAATTCATAATCACAAGTGTCAAGTCTAAACATAAAGTGTGTGGTTATCTTCTTTTTTTTCAAATTGAGTGACAATCAGATCTGTCAATGGCGCGAAATTCAAATAAGACTACAGTTCGGCCATCCTGACACGTCTGATCGTCCTCGATCAGCCTAATATTACAGTATATTAATTTCATAACTAAGATATTTAACATTCATGACTTTCATAAGACATAACATAATGGATATTTGAAATGAACATTTTCCTTTAAAGTTTAAAACATACAGTAATAATAATAATAATTCATAATGAGTTTAATAAACAAATCATAATAATCATAATTCATAATGGTTTAAATAAGCAAGGCATAACATTCATAATAGTTTAAATAAGCACGACATAACATACATAATGGATTGAAGTGTCCATAGGGGTACAAATGGAAATCATAATATCCATAACACACCCTAACTGTCTCGATGTAATGGTACAAGTAATGGATTATAAATAAGCATAAACATAATTGAATAAAAATTAAACATAATTATTTTAACCCTAACTAATAATGAAATTGATTATTTATCATAAGCTCTAATCCTACTACTGTCTATAATTCCCTCATATGGTACTTGTGTTGTTTGGAACCCAACAATATCATTCACAATATACCTATCATTTGGTAGCTCTTTCACAATCTCATACGGTCCTCTAAATTTTGGTATAAGTTTTTTTAGCTACTCCAGGGGTTGTGTCTACGTTGGAAATCATAACATATTGCCCCACCTTAAACTTTTGAGCCTCCTTATGCTTCTTGTTATAATACTGTTCATTTACATTTTGTGCCTTAATTATTTGTGCTTCTGCCTTAGTTCGAATCATTTCTAAATCCCGTTCTTCCTTATCAATATCTTGTAATGCTTCTCTTAAATTATCCCTAATCTTTCCTATTTGATCTCTTCCAAAAAGTAACTTAGCTGGGGTTTCTCCTGTTGATCTGTTTATTGTATTATTGATGCAGAATTCCACTTCATGTAATGCATTTGACCAGTTGATTTGTTTTTCATCGGTTATCTTTGCTAGAAGAGGTGTCAATAACCTGTTCATGCGTTCTATTTGCCCATTGGCTCTCGGACAACCACTTGCAATCAGTATGTGTTTGATTGTATACTCCTCCAAAAATTTCTTAAAATCATGAGAGGTAAAACAAGATCCTCTGTCTGAACTGATAACGCTCGGTACACTATAATTAGCAAAATGTTCAGTTAAATATTTAATTACTTCTCCTGTATTTGTTGATTTGCAAGGATAGAACTTAATAAATTTAGTAAACCCATCAACAACTTCAAATATATATTTATTCTTATTAAAAGGAGCTAATGGCCCATAGTGATCAATATGAAGCATTTCAAAAGGTAAATTGCCCTTAGGTATACTATGTAGATATCCTTCTGATTTGCCACTTTTAGGATTGAATTCAATACACTTTAAGCAATTTTGAATATGATTTCCAATCTTAAATTTTAATTTTGGAAACCAATATGTCTTGGAAATAATTTCAAATGTTTTGTCTGTTCCGAAATGACCCAATTCATTATGATAGTGATAGATAACTGCTGACTCCATACTCTCTGGTACATAAAATGCAATGTTATCTTTCAGTTTTCTATATACTAACCCATTTCTTAATTCAAAGAAAGGATGATCTGTCTCCTCAAGTCTTTTTCGAAGATCTGAAATAACTGTATCCTTGGACTGTTTTAAAACCAAAGTTTGTTCAATAGTATTTCCTTCTAATACCAGTACATAACTCACTCTGCTTAAGGCATCTACATGTTGCATTCTTGTATTTACTCTGTGCTCAATAGAGTAATCATAATTTTGCAATAACAAACACCATCTCATAATCCTTGGAATTATATCCTTTTTACTCATGGTTAAGCGAAAACTGTCACAATCTGTAACTATTTTGAAAGGGATTCCCTGTAGATAAACATGAAACCGTTTAAGTGCACACACAATACTCAAGCATTCAAGTTCGTAGCTATGGTAGCGAGACTCATAGTCAGTTGTTCTCTTGCTAAAGAAAAACACTGGGTGAAATTTGTCATCACTTTGTTTCTGAAGTAAAATTGATCCATAGCCTACTTGGCTTGCATCACAGTGTAGTTCTGTTTCCCTACTCGGATCATAAACTGCTAAAATAGGTTCTGATGTCAGTTTTGACTTCAAATTCTCAAAAGCTTGTAAATGTGTCATTGTAAATTCAAATTTGACATTTTTTCGTAATAGGTCATATAACGGCTTGGCGATGATAGAGAAGTTCTGTATAAAACGTCTAAAATAACTGGCAAGGCCTAAGAATCTATGCACCTGCTTGGTATCTGTAGGAACTGGATACTCTGCAATAGCTTTCACATTATCTTTATTAGGACATATACCATTTTCATTAATCCTGTAACCCAGAAAATCTATTTCTGTTTTCAAAAATGAACATTTATCTAGTCTTAACTCAAGTAGATTCTGGCTAACTAATATTAAAACTTCTCTTAACACTTCTAGATTTTCTTCGATAGTCTGAGTAGCAATTAATATGTCATCAAAATATATTAAAACATTTCCTTGTTGGCACAAATCTTTAAAAATTTTATTAACAAACCTTGCAAAAATAGAGGGACTTGAGCTCAAACCAAACGGTAATTTAAGAAATTCATACTGACCTGAAGGTGTAACGAATGAAGTATACTTAGTACAACTTTCATCTAAAGGAACATGGTAAAAAGCATTTTTCAAATCCAATTTAGAGAAATATTTCTTATTCTTTAACCTGTCTAAATGATCATCTATTAGCGGCAAGGGAAATTGATCTCTAATAAGATATTTATTTAAAGTACGATAGTCTACACACATTCGATATTCATTTGACTTCTTCTTGGTTAATACTACTGGTGAACAGAAAGGTGAATCACTTTCCCTAATGACATTATTTTCTAATAAATTAGCAAGAATTTCATCCAATGACTTTTTCTCTGCATAAGATAGTCTACGTGGTCTGATACTAAAAGGTTCATTTTTAGTTAAAGTAAGCTGTGCTTTGAAATCACACTGTGGTTTTAATGGTTTATCATAATCAAAGTAATATGACTTCAATAAAGTTTGAACACTAGTAGTTATTTCAAAAGGTAAACAATAATTAATATTCAAGTCTGCATCTAAATTTACCATATCGTTAATAAACAAAACATCTGTAAAAGGAAACTGATAGTCCTCCTCTGTTTGTACACAAGAGTTTTTATTTATTTTAAAAGAACCATTTGAAAAACTTATATTTTCTATGGATTCATTGTTTATAAAATCTCGACCCAAAAGTAGATTCCAACTAAAAGAATCTTTCTCAACAACATAAAATTTTAAATTTACTGATATGTCATCAAAAATAACTGTGTCATAAAAAAACCCTAACACTTTTAAAGGAGATTTATTTATACCTGAATAAGATTCAAGATTAGTAGAAGAAATAATATCTTCTGCCTTTACAAAATTTTCTGATATCAATGATATTGGACTCCCTGTATCTATTATACCATTTAATGTTATGCTATACTTATCTAGAACCAGGTTTAATACAAAAGGATCCGTTTGGCTCATAGGACGTTCCACTAGACCCATGGCTCCATTACTATCTCGGGTAGTTGAATCTGCAACTTGTTGCACCACTTGCTGGTTTCTATTAGGACAGTCTCTTACCATATGATCTTTGCTTCCACATCTAAAACATGATCCCCTATCACGCTTGGCTTGTCTGCACTCTGTCACTTTGTGTCCGGTACGACCACAATTAAAGCATTTTACAGGGACTGGCATCCGACCCTGTGTTGCTGTATGAGGTTGGTTCTGGCTAGAACTTACCCTATAACTTGATGCTGTAGCAAACCTTTGTCCACTTCCTGATACCTCATCTTTAACAACGCTCCCCATTAACTTATATAAATCTTCAGTGCTATTGAGTGTGGATAACATCATTTTGGCTTGATTTTGAAGTAGGCGATCATCAAACCCATCAATCAGATAATGTATCATATCTTCATCCTCAACTCCTGCTTCGTTGCCCAGTAACAGTTTGTCATGGAAATATGCTGAAAAGCTTTCACTCTTTTTCCACCTTCTAGTCTCCATCTTTCTTCTCGACGACACTGGATCATAAGTTCTCCCATACATTCTCCTAATTTCATTTTTTAAACCTGTCCAATCTGTGGAAATTAAATTTGGTTTGCTGAGGTACCATTCCTTCGCTTTTTCCGGTCAATTTTCCAATGACTAACAGTTGTAAAATATCAGTTGGAACATTATACACAGTTTTGATTTTTTCTATTCTTTCTAACCATATTGCAACATTCTGGCTTTTGTCTGTGCCTGAAAATTCCGGCATTAAATTTGATAATTCGCTGTTAGTAATTTTTATGGGGTTATGTGTCGGCATCTGATTTTCTGGACCGGCAATTTTCTTTTTCTCTTCATAATCGAGGATTGCCTGTACCGCTGTATGAACAATTTCAGCTATACTCGCCTGAGCGACGGTGTTTCCACTTGTATTTTCAATTTCGGTGTCTGATCCCGGCATGGCTATCGTCAATACTAAACACAATTTTTAAATCTGCAAAAATATCGGCGATCCACGTAATCCCACTTCTGATTCTGTAGGCTCCGTTAATAAATAATATTGTTCTAGTTTTCTTAAGTTTATTTAGCGGAAAGAAACACTAATTGTACATAATTCGACATAATAATTTTCATAACATTCCGATGGCCATAATTCATAATCACAAGTGTCAAGTCTAAACATAAAGTGTGTGGTTATCTTCTTTTTTTTCAAATTGAGTGACAATCAGATCTGTCAATGGCGCGAAATTCAAATAAGACTACACTAAAAGGTTCTGCAATATACCCCTTATAATGTATACTGTATTCATTTTCAACACAAGTTGACAATAAACATAGTGGTGGATGTTTACCTTCACTGAGTAATATTTACACATCTGTATGGGCTTTCCACATCATTCAAATTCAGTATTATTTTAAAAATGTCCTTGAAATTGTAAAAGTTTTCGTTTGAATAGAGGGAACTGTTGTTAACACTTTTCTTTTGTAGATTAAATGCACTGGAAAAATTAGAAGTTAAAACCGAAAATGTCGAAACAACCAAAGTTAAAACTGAAGTGGAAGAGAATGACGACGATGAAGACAAGGGGGAATTTGAAGGATTAGAAGACGAGGAAGATGAAGAAATGGACGATGGGACTGATTACGCGAATAATTACTTTGATAATGGAGAAGGGTATGAGGATGAAGATGATAATTTGGAAGATGGGCCGATTTATTAAAAGTTGTATATATTACATATGTTTTTAAGTTTTTATTTTAATAAAAAATAATATGTTTTTAAGATGTTTTAATTTAGTCTATGCACATGCTATGCACCCTTTTCTATCAGCTGCCAGTAACAGGGGACCATATGCGCTTTAAGGATTTAAGACATTTTAGGGTTAAAAAAGAAACAACCTTCAGTGTATAGTATAATTCATTTCTAAATATAATAAATAGTTCAATATATACATATACATTCAATAAATAAATAATATTTATAATAAAGTCCATATCAAATGTCAATATCAAAATATATATTCTTGGGGATTCATTATATGAAAGGCACTAGATGTTCTCAGTTTGATATTTAAGTCCAAGGGTATATTTATACACCAAGATTCATTATTCTTTTATGTATTTCAGTCAAATTTCAAGTTGTGTTAATTTAGTTTTTACTATAGTTTCGAAAGAAAACTAAATACATTACAAGTTTACAAAATATGTCTTAATATCAAAAACATTATCGAATATATCACATTATATGACGTCACGCAATCATTTTTTAAGTTAGGTATAAGTATAAATAATAATAAAGCTGTACATTTTAGATTCTTCAAATTTTAGACCAAATATTAAAGTACCGTCAATTAATCTGGTACTAAAATGATAGCTCTACTTTTCTAGCTTTTTTTAAATATGAATTAATGAATTCTTCGGAAAGTTTAGTGAAAAACAGATAATTTGGTTTTTCCAGAACAAAGATCTGGAAAAAACAGGCCAGTGTGACATCATCATAAATGTAGCATACTTAAAATATATGTGCAAATCTTACGTAACTGATTACAACTAAGATATGAAACGCTACAACCTAAACAGCTCTATGTATGTATGCATGACAACAGGTTTTATTGAAACAACTCTAGAGTTGACACAAAAACTGTTTTAATAGCCTCTGATAATTTACTATAACTAAAAAGGCATCTATTTGTGTACTAATCGGTTATAATTGTGTAAATATTTTTATTTTGATAACATCTTGGCATTATTGGAAGGCAAAAAGTAAAAAAGGCTGTAAAGATCTGTATAACCACATCATTAACAAGTCCAGTAATTTTTTGTTTAGTTGTAAACATTAAATTATAAAACTTACGGAAGTAATTGTGCGTGTTTTCAATCACATTTAAAATATTTATTCTCTATGTGCTTCACATAGATAACTATATATCTTCTATTATCTGTCCCATCCTTTTTAATTTAGACAGAAGAAATTTAAGCTGTACCATTCAAGAAAAGAAGAGATTCTCCGAATGTTCTCAATAAATCTTTAACACAAAAATAAATCACCACTACTAAATCTAAGTCTTCCTCGCGCTGGATTGGCCCGACAATCCGGAAAGCCTCCAGTATTCCATTCAAAATCTTGACTTCGAAGTCCTCGTCTTCTCCATAACGAGCTGGTCTTGACATGAAGGTAAGAATGATATCAGACACCCCGTTTGGAACATTTATAGTCAGTTAAATTAATGAGGCATACTTATGTACACTACATAAATTTTCAACAAACGGAAAAACTTTTGCAATAAAAAAGAGTAACAAACTTCATGTTATTTTTATTACATCAAAATGATAGAGCTAAAAATCTTCTTCGAAATACTTACACCTTATATCCAGATAATTAGGAAGTTTTTTCAAAATTAAACATTGCTTTTGCCACTGTCGTTTGACGTTAAACTAGAGATGATATGTGACGTTATGTAAAAGCTAATTGCATTAGATTTTGACATATGTCATCCAATATAATCAGTTTTGTTTGGTAAATTTTCTGGGTAAATACGCTCTACAGAGTATTTGCACAGAAAATGCAGTTGTGTCGCCATTCAAAAATAAACAATGTTGCAATGATCGCCTCATGATTCAGTATGAAAATCTGACAAAATATGGCATTCAATTATGTAAAAAATTTCAAATTGATTATTTATCACCAATGACGTATAATACAGTATGGCCCAAAATAAACAGTACTGAAATTGAAACATAGATGTCTCTTTGTGCGCGCTGTCATATTCAAATTAACTAGTATAGACCTGTCAAGTAATCCTTACGCAATTCTTTATTTAGGCCTAAATGGTGTTAAGTACAGAGGAGAAAGTGTTTCTTATGGAACATTATTTTCGCCCATACGGAATCGGCCGACGTAATAGTGTAAGTCTGCAATACGTGTGTGATCAATTCACACAACGGTTTAATAAACGTTCTCCAAGTAATGCTGTAATTTTGAAGGTTGTTAAAAAGTATAGAAATACGGTTAATGTATTCTGCCAACGAAACTCAGGGCGTCCCAGGACAGTTAACAACAACGATAACCATAAAGGTTTTTTTGAGCGAATCTTGGAAAATCTTAAAGCCAGCCATACAAGAAGAACAGGGTTGCTATTGGCTTAAAACGAACTTCCTTGCAAAGAATCCTGAAGGAGCTGGGTGCATTTTCGTATGTGATTTAGGTACATCAACAATTACATCCCAGGGATTATCACAGTAGAGTGGATATTGTGCCAGAATTCTTGCATTACAGTATAAAAATCCTGAATTTTTGAAAAATGTACGGTTTTCGATTTCTGGACTTTGCCAGCCCTGATGAAGTTCAAGAAGTTCCTTTACATAGCGCAAACATGAGTGTCTGGTGTGCAGTTTCGGGATACGAAATCATTGGTCCATACTGTATCGAAGAAAATGGTAAGAAAGTCACACTTAATCAACAGAGGTACATACAAATTTTAACACGATTTATACCTTCTACGTCAATTTTGTCGTGTACGTAATTTGGCATTTCAAGACCAATTTTTCCAGCAGGATGGGGCAACTTGCTATACTGCTGTCGCAGCTCGTCAATTTCTTCAGAGACATTTTCCAAACAAATTTATTTCACGATTTACTGAGTTCCCCTATCCTGCACATTCTCCAGACGCATACATTGGGGGCATAGCTAAAACTGCCGTTTTTAAACGGGCACCACAAATCATTAATGAGTTAAAGGATACCGTTAGAGCCTTCTTCGCGGACTTAAGACAACGTGTATTCATTATACATTATATTATTATACACTTTATACATTACGAGAAATCTGGAATATCGGTATGAAGTCTGTCTTGAGAGATGAGGAGCTCATTTAGAACATATTATAAAGTGTCAATAATATGTATTTTTTAAAACAAAATAATTACAAGTTCAGTACTGTTTATTTTGGGTTATACTGTATATAGACCCAGCCAATAGTGTAACCTATAGTGTTAAAAACATAATTTCCTTTATGCTATTTATTGTTTTGATACACAGTTGCACAAGACATTCACGATTTTTTACGAAGTTGACCCATAATAATGAAATTGGTTCGTTTGTATATAATATTGGTTGTGTTCATCATAAAAGCACTACTTATTTAATATTCCAATTTTTTCAACATTTATGTGTCGAAATCGTTTTTGATTGATATTGCGAGCTTTACATTTTGAAAACATGGAGAATCAAGCAACTGGCACACAATTAGGAAAAATGCTTCGTCTGATCAACTTTTTCAGCAATAGAATGCAAGATATTTATTACCCAAACGAGCAGTTGTCACTGGATGAATTTATGTTGCTGCGGTGCTGGTCGGTTAAAATTCCGCCAGTACATAAAAGGAAAACGACACAAATTTAGTATAAAGCTGTACGTCATTTTTGAACCAATTGGGTTGACTCTCAAACTACTTGTTAATTCAGGATCTCACTCTCAACATATATGGAAAAAGTAGTAAAATATGTTCTGCGAGAAAAACTAGGAGTTGGATATTCCATATTTATGGACAATTTTTAAAACAGTTTAAAAATAACCAAGGATTTGTTACAAATCCTTGGTTAATTTGAGTCCTGAGAGGAAATAGAAAAGAGAATCCACTTGAAGTTTTGTCTAAAAAGTTAAAAAAAAAAAAGATGAACTGGTTATGAAGTTCAATACGGAGGGAATTTTTTGTAATCAAATGGAAGGATCGTAAAGAAATTTTAGCAATTTCCAGTAAATTTAATAGAAATGTGAAAAAAGTTACTACACAACGTGGCCAAGAAGTGATGAAGCTAAAGCTCATAAATGAATACCACAAATTTATGGCAGGGGTTACAAAATGTATGGCATGTGAACAAAAGACTCTTATCTGGTACAAAAAAGTAGTCATCCATTTATTCCAGATATGTTTACTAAATTCATATCATTTGTACAAGATGGGTACCGGAAGTTGTATTTTTTTTATAAATATTAGGTTATGTGTTGATAGTAAGTGAAGGCGTTTAATAAATAATTATCAATTATACTAAATATTTAACAATTTCAATTAAATTTTTTGTTTTTTTTTTAACTTCTTCTTCGTCTAGCCATTCACGTCCACATCTGAATATAAGCCTCTTCAAGTCTTCCTTTCCATTGTTTTTTATTGTACGCTACTTGTAGCCAATTTTTCCCGGCAGTCCTTTTCAGATCATCTGTCCATCTCATAGGAGGTCTGCCTCTGGGTATTTTGTGTTGGTATGGTCTCCAAGTTAAAATTGATCTGTGCCATTTGTTTAGATCGCTCCTAGCTACATGTCCAGCGTATTCCCATTTCAAATTTAATGACTTTTGCACCACATCGGTGACTTTGGTTTTCTGTCTTATCCATGTGTTTGTTTTCTTGTCCTTAAGTGATATACCTAGCATTGCTCTTTCCATCGCGTGTTGAGTGACTCTAAGTATATTCATATTCTTTTTTGTGATTGTCCATGTTTGTGCCGCATAAGTTAATATCGGAATTATGCATGCATCAAAAACTTTAGATCTAAGATGTAATTGAATTTGTTGATTTCTGAGTATATAGTTCAGTTTACCGAATGCTGCCCAAGCTAACTTTCTTCTTCTTTTTATTTCTTCAGTTTGAATTTCCCTATTTAGGATTATTTTTTGTCCTAAGTATATATATTCTTCAACTTTTTCTATAACTTTATCGTTTATTATTGTCACGGTGTCTTCGGAGTGCATGACTTTTGTTTTGTTTAAATTCATTTTCAGT